CACTTTGTTTATTCATATGTATATATAATTATATATAATATATTATGTAGTATATATCATATATTATTCATATACATGAGAACTAATTATTAAAAAGGCTAAACTAAGAATTATTAAAAGGCACTAAAAGGGCTATGAAAGAACACTGCAATGACAGGGCTCCTAACTAAGCCTAGGTCATCTGTGAAGCCTTATTTGAGTAGCATTTTAGGCTGAGAGGGAAAGGATGGGTGGCAGTTAACAAGATGAAGACGGGCAGAAGTGAAAAGAGGCACCGAGGCTTGATGTACTTGAGAAATGGAAAGGAGCCTAATGTGGCTAGAGAGTTATAAGAAAGGAAAGCAGTAAGACCTTATCAGCCATATGAAAAAATTCTGTACATGAAATGGAAAACATCTGAGGGCTTTATTTAAGTAAAGAAGAACATAATCAGACTCAAATTCTTAAAAAGATCACTCTGTCTTCTGTGTGAAAAATTAATTGGAGACAAGGCCAAAGAGGATTCAGAGAGGACAGCTGAGAGAGAATTATAATTCTTTAAAAGCAGTAAGTGATGGAAGCCTGTACTAAGGGGATGGCTTGGGCTCATTTGATGGCAGTAAAAACTGAGGGAAGTGGACAGACTGATGATGCCAAATAGACAGCTGAATTATAAAGGTCAGAAAAGAGTTCTGGATTAGAAATCTGGAAGCCATGGAAAAAGAAAAGGGAAATACCCTGGTAAACAGTAGAGAATGACTTCGGTTTGAGCTCAGAGGAACAATAACATTTAAGAAAAGAAACCGTTAGCAGAGGAGACAGAAAATATCAGCAACAAAAAGAAAAGCAGGACTGGGCAATGCTGTGAACTCTGCAAAATGCTTTACATTAACTATTTGTTCCTTACAACAATTCTATCAGCCTGGTAATATTATTACAGCTAAGAAAACAAGATCAGAGAGGTCAAGTTACTTGCTCAAGAGTACACAGCTAATTAAAAGTGGATTAGAATTTGAAACCAGGTCTGTCTGACTCTAACCCCCAAGCTCTTTCCACTACTTTAAGTCACATGAATGGGCAGCTAGTCCTATCCTGATGTTATCTGGGGCCACTGAGGAGATAACTCTGTGGTACAGAAACTGCTCAGGACAAAGTGTGAGGTAGACCCAGTGTAGATGAACACTGTGTTACTACCCTGCCTGGAAGAAGCCCCATAAATAGGCTTATTTCACAATCCTCCACCCTCCCCCGCCCCATCCCAACATGACTTTTGGGTGTGAATAGAAACTATACTGACTGGCTGTCACAAGCTTATGACCTCACAGTGACAAGCTGGGAAAAAAAAAACCCAAATATCCAAGATTCCCTAGGCTCATCATAAGAAGAGAGTTACTTTAGTTCATATTACAAATTTCTCCTCATTAGACAAACCAAACAGCTGTTCTACACTAAACAGTGGTGTGGAACAGTGAAAAGGAATTGAGAATGCTTGTTAATATACTTATAAACCTCCTGGTTCCAATTCTAAGAACCCTGACATTAATAAATCACTGATCTTTATAGGTCAAACCACTCTCAAAGGGGAACCAAGTGAAGAATAAGACCTAGCTCCTGGCCGGTAAGCAGAACAGCTGCAACATCATCTATAACTCTCTGGGGTAGGAGTTTTGACCACAGAATGTACAAAAGACTATAAAAAATGATCAAGACTGAAACTGTGGTATATACATACAGTGGAATATTATTCAGACTTAAAAAAATATCTCAATAGGTGTAGTGCATCCAAGAGAGTACTTTGAAGATGACTGAAGTTTTAACATTTAAGAATACACAATTTTTTAATAAACAAATTCTGGTTTTGGGGGTCTCCCCTTGTATTTGCTATGGGAAACAATGAATGCACTCCTGGTGACTCATCCAGCAATATCACAAGCCTTGCAGTCTTCCTGTGACCCACTCCCTGCCCTGAAATGGGAACCAGGGGAAATAGCAAACTGTCTACAGTTAGGGTGAGCAAAGCCACACTATGCTAGACAGGAGTTGGATAGAGTGGCTTCTCTTAAAGGGACAGCCATTCTCAATGTCAATTACACAGGGAAGAGAGACATGTCCTCATATAAAATACCAGGATTTGGAAGGCTGGCCTGAGGAATACAGGAGGGGTGGCATATTTTTGTCAGGGACATAGGCTCTAGGTGTAGACATTGGAAAAACAGATGTCTAGATGTGGTGGGCGGTAAAATGGCACTAGCTACACAGAGGTAGGCTGAGAATTGGATAAGGCAGGGTCTGGAAGCCCTACAAAGGCAGGCAGCCTGTAAGTTAGATTAACCTCGGTCAAGCACCCATGGTTTATATTCCTGCTATCTCCCCAACCTTTTCATAAGGTCCAATGTGAATGTGACTGACTGTTTGATGCTTCTGTTCTTGTGCTAAGAGGTACAGGAAAGTACATGGGTTTGTTCTTGGGGCAGGATATTAGAGAATGAACGTGGAGTGGTGGGGGTACTGGATTCCATAAAGGAAGGACAATGTAGGGGGTCAAGAGCTGGTTTTTGAGGCACTCTTCACCTCAACAAGAAATTCTCCTGCCAGGCCTTTTGGTAAAGCTGGGATTTGTCATAGCTAGGGAATTATGTTAATAGGGATTATCACTTGTAATTATTAGAGTACCCAGTAATTCCTCCCAAGAAAATGGAAAGAGGTCCAGCTCAAATCCTAGAGGAGAAGCTAACTTGTGGATCAATTCTGAGCTCAGTCCCATTTGGACAGAAGAGGGATTCCCTGAATTGGTTATTAGTGACCCACCTGAGGAAATTAAGGCTATGCTTAAATTGGCAGCTGATAATAACCTTGAGAGAAAGTTGGCAACAACCTGGGAAAATCAGAGAATGGGTCCTGTAAAAACAGAATGAGAAGAAAAGAAAATCAATGGAGGATAAAGGAAAGGATACTGATAAGAGTCACTCTGAAAAGCTGGCTATGCCACAGAAGCAGTCTTAGAGAACAGCTGCTGTTGCACGTGAAGTTAGTAATTAGATTACCTAAGGTCTAGAAATCTCTTCTCGGAAGTGAACTGGTTAAAGAAGACCTGAAGCCTGCACACATGTGTAAGAGACAGCAAAAAAAAAAAAAGCTAAAACATGACAGTTGTTAAAAAAAAAAACCTATAAGCTGTCTATAAAGTGACCAAATACACTTTGTTTTCAATTTGATCCACTATAGGAAAAGTAAATTGTCCCATAATACTAAGAAACAAAGTCCTACATCTAAAACTATTCTTGATTAAAGGTGTCTAAGGTGATGGCTGAGTATTATTTAAACCTAACTTGCCCTGAGCCTACTAGCCTATGGCACAAAGGAGATCGCAGTACATGAACATACTAGTTCCCATAGCAAACAGTCTCCCATCTGCAAAACTTCCTCAAACCCTTGAAGAGTTCCTGAGGCACGTCACGTAAAGTCAAGTGCCATCCTTTCCTGTTCCTATCACTTGGCCTCCATTGATATCTGCTGACTAAAAGCAGACTGGTGTCTGGATGCTCAAGAGAACCCACTTTCCTGAGATTCTCCTAGGGATTTACTTCAAGCTGTCAGCCCATGATGTGGCAAGAACTTCTGAATGCCTTTCAGGCCACTTTCATCAGACAGAGTCATATATATTTCAGCAGAGAAATGGAGAAATGTCTATTAAACTTTGAAATATTTTTTCTTGGCATGGGGTCTAATGGGATTACACTGAGATGGGGGACACTTCTGTTATTTATATAATTAAGAGATATAAACAGCAAAACAAAGACATATTTCCATTATGAAAAAAAATAGGGATACTGGCTTGGATTACTCAGATTGCCTATTACTTTACCCACATTTTAAGCTTGAAGAATTTCTCCACAGTCTCCACCTTGTCCTCTGACAGGATTTCCTATCTCACTAAAAAATACACCATTCAAAGAGTTGTTTGAGTTAGAAATCTCAGCTTTGATATCTACCTTTCCTTCACAGGTTTTCCTTCAGGCTCCAGAACCAATCTAAATCCAAAATACTTCTCCATAGTATTTACCTCCGAAATACTTCTCAAATAGTGCTCTTCTCTCCCTTTCCACCATCTCTAGCCCAATCCGAACTTTGTCAGCTATCCCAGACTATTATTTAACTGTCTCTTAGATAGTCTTAGGCAGTCCACTGTCATCTGTGGACCCCTCTCCAATCTGTTCTCTACCCAGCAGCCAGTACAATCTTTTCAAAATGCAAATCTGACAGTCATTTCCCGGTCTTTTTAGTATAAAAATCACCATCTTTCATTCATCCTATAAGGATTTTTGTAGTCTAGCCTCTGTCTCCAGATACTTCATTATACTCTCAGCCCTACAACTGTATCAGCCTTAGTTCCTCAAAATGCCACCCTTTCTCCCACTACAGGACTCTTACACAAGGTATTTTCTCTACCTATTTTCACTTCACTTCCCACTTCATCTAATTAACTCCTACTCACTGCTCAAGTCAGTTCAGTAGTCTCTTCTTCAGGAAAGCTATTTTTGAGACCTGAGACTAAGTCAAATGCCTCTAGTATCTTTGTTCATTGCATCATGAACATTCCCTTCATAATATTTACTGAAGTTATAAGTTTATGCTTATGCTTGTGTTTATTACTTCAACAGTTCTCTCTGTCACTAGAGAGTAGTAAACTCCATTTAGGTAAGGACCACATGTATTTCTGTACACCTTTGTAATTCCAGCACATCCAATGTTGAGGCATGTAGACATTATATAAGTACTTGTTGAATAAATGGTAACTTCCTACAGGGGAAAGTGGTTCTTTCCTAGAATGGTCTTCAAGTTAAAAATTCCAGGGTACATCTGAGATCTGACTTTCCAAATTTTAAGGAAGAACTCTCCATAACATACCACCCACATCTTAAAGGATTGTATACGACTTATCTCTTCCGTCAAACAAGTGATGCTATCTTGAACTCTTGAGAGGTGGCAGAAGGCAGTATTAAGAGCCCAGGTAAACTCACCCCTATGGTAGACGCCATGTAGTCTGCACACATTTCTGCAAAGTCCCGCTCAAGGACACCATAGTACAGGCCATAGAAGAGGAGAGAAATGCCAAAGTCCATACAATCTTCTGGTTTGATCCTGTAAAGGAAGCAGCATGACCTGTTAAGGCCTGCCCTGGGACACAACTGCTTTGGGTGACTACTCTGGGATACCCAGAGGGCAGTGCCTGAAGTTGCAAGGTACAAGGGCTAGAGCAAGTGTTGGCACACTACAACCAAATCTGGCCTGTCTCCTATTTTTACATTGTCTGTGGGCACGGCTTGAACAGCTATCACTGTGAGCTGCAAAGACCAAGGCAGGCTGTCACCTCCTGCCCCACCTGCTCACTGTGCTCCCAGTGCCTGCCTCCTCCAGCTGGCAACCATGCACTGCTGCCAAGGGCCCGTTCTGGTTGGTGCCTACTTACTGGGGACTCCACCGCTGGCAACAGTGGTAGTACTCCACTGGTGCACTGGAGCAGAGAAAGAAAATGATCCCAGGGGTCACAGACCCTTTGTCAGGGCCCTGCTTCTGAGAATGTGTCATCTGGTGGCAAGTGAGCACAAAGTATGTCCACCACCTGAGACAAACAGGCAAACATGGTGGGGCAAGGAAGGAGTTTTCTCTCTTGCTAGATGAGTACCTATGTCATATCCTAGACTTTGCCTTTTATCCCAAAGCCTGAAATATTTATTATTTAACCATTTACAGAAAAAAGGTTAGTCAGTTACTGTAAAATTTTAGGCTGCATCTATACATATTCTGTAAAATGTCATCAAGTTACATTTTGGTCCATGCCTAATAACTAAAAAGAAAAAAGTTCTTTTTTTTCAAATTGAATTTACTGGTGTATAAAATTATATAGGTTTTAGGTTTAAGGACAAGGTTCTTGTCTGTAATATCAGGTTTGTTTTAATAAGTCCAAGGACCAATAATTTGCAACCTTGAGTCTATAAATGTTTATTATTATAGAAAAGTACCTTTGTTTGGACCAGGAACTGTATGTGTTCACTTAAAGCTGTAAATGATACTTACCTCAGAAGACGGAATTTGCTTATCAATCTTATAATATTTAACCTAATAACTAGACATCATGATCTTATACCAATTAACTTGATCAGTAGATGATGCAGAATCTTGATTTTTATTTTTTTAAACCACAGGTTAAGAACATATCTGGATATGTCTTGGTTTTCTTTGATACCATGTGTTAGACTCCACACTGATAGGTTCCTGTAAACCTCTGTGGGGCCTGTTTATTCTTCCCACCTGTTCTAGCCCTAAAAGAAAGAATTCCACAGCTGTCCTCTCACTACATTCATTAGGATGTACTCCCTTCTGGTTTCAAAGAAACTCCTACATAAGAGTACTAGGTTTGGGGAAGAGGCCAGCGGTCATGAATTTAAATTTGAATTCTAAATCTCTTGCTTCAGTGCACTGTCTCAGGCTTAGGATTTCTCATGATCCATGGACCTCATCACCTCAGCCAGGGAACAACCACATTTCCACCCTCTCCTGCCCTACTCTCTGTTCCCATCAGTCCCAAAGCCCAGAATTTCTTGGTGTCTGCCTCAGTTGGAGGTGGGGGGGAACCTGCACACTGATACACATCTTTTGGAAAGCTTATGACAATATAAAACAATAGCCAGACTCTTACTACTAGTAATGTAACATTAGGAAACAGCAGAGCAATGTTATCTGTAGTAACACTACATAAAAATACAACCTAAGTGCCCAACAAGGGAGCAGAACTTAAATGTCCACAGGTTAACTTTTTAGAACTGTTTTCTTAGAAATCTGATACAGGTGGAATGTCAGCTATGTTACAAGGCAACAATGCTTATATGTTGAACAGGACCTGTGATCAGCACACTGCACCTGGACTGGATGTGTTCCTTGCATGAGAAGCACTTCTAGGCCAGGTGGCTCCCAAACCCATCTGTGTGGTCTCATTCCCTCACATCTCAGCCCTGGGACTACCATGAGAACTGCTGTTTCCTGTCTTGTATCCTTCTAGGTGGATCTGTTGCCAGGTGTGGCCAACTATATCCCATGAGTTTGAATGTCTAGTCCAGAGTCAGCAAACTTTTTCTGTAAGGGCCAGATTGTAAATATCTTAGGTTTTGTGACCCATATAGTCTCTGACACAGTTATTAAATTCTGCTGTTTCACTGCAAAACTAGCTATAGACAACATGTAAACAAATGGGTGTGACTGTGTTTCAGTAAAATATTTTTTTCTTTTATAACAACAGGAGGTAGGCCACTTTGGCCCATAGGACATAGTTTGCCACCTCCTAGTCTCCTTGGACGTAAGACTACTCAGGCAGCGTGGATGATGGAATAAAGAAATGGACAGGAAAAATGGTTCTATGAGGATGATGGAGTAACAGGTGCCTGGCTATAATCATTATTATTCTTAGACTTTACCAGTAAAATATAAGTTATTGGAAAATATAACCAATGATTTGAAATTCTAACTTTGTATTATCCAGACATGCTTTCTCTTTGCCAGCACAATTGTGGAGGGCCCACCCTCACATTCCCCATGGTTCAAGTTTCTTATCCTGGGTACCATATTCCCCCTGTTAATAATAGGACTTGTTCCAGGAAGAAAGGTATCCCACCAGCCTCTCCTGCCCTAACACCAGCAAAAAAAAAGAAAAAGAAAAGGGTACTCACTTGAATATTAAGTTAAGCCCAAAAAGGGTAAACATGACAGCCATGTAGCCAGCAATGCCAGTGGCATAGCTGATTTTATAGATCAGCAGGAACCACTTATAAACCAACCTGGAAAAAGGAGAGAAAATTAATAGCAGACACAAGCTCTAGAGACCTCTGGACAACCAGAATCTCTTATTATCACATCAATGGGAACACCAGGCCCTTTGCTTAGAACTTACTGAGAAACTTTAGTTATTAGGCAAAGCTGGTTACTCCCTCCCTTAATTGCAGTAATACCTCCATAGACTGGGGAGCCAGTATTTTGTATCTTTCTGGTCTCAGACCAAGGGAATAAAAGAGAGCCTTAAACAGTTTCAGCCTCAAATGAAGAGCACAGTGGACATCAGACATCTCAAGTTCAGGTTAGTTGGAACAGGAAGTGAGAACTAGTAACTATGGCTATGCTTAGAAGGGAACAGGGAGAAGGCTAGTAATCCTTGTCAAGAAACAGAATTTGAGGGAAGATAAAAAAGAGCTAGAATTAGATACAGAATTTCATACCTGGGTGTGGTTAATGTGAATACTGTTTTACTCCTATCCATAGGCCAATAATGAAATGAATGATTTCTAATGACTTGTTTCTGAAAAATGTTTTTGCCATAGTAAAAGGGGCAAAGGGGCACTCAAAGAACACCTTTGAGCTTTGCACAACCCTGCTTCATCCCAGTACCACCATCATGCACACATATTATGTGTGTGCAAAGTTCCTGAAGGAGGAGTTTTCCTTAGGAGCCAATGAAAAGCAGTGTGGAATCTGGCTGGTTCACTCCAGCTAGTTTCAGAGAGGAAAGATAGTAACAGAATGTACCAGAGCCTTTTAAATGCTAAAGAGAGAGACAGGTCTCCAATATCAGGAGCCGCTATTCTACCTGAGATGAGAGCATATGAGCAATTTAGTAATTTGCTCAAATAACCAGCACAGGCCTGTCTAGCTCCTGAGCCAACTAGGTTATTGCCAACAATGCCAGGCCCCAGGTAGAAAGCTCAAGGTCCCTGCCCATGACTCTCTGCTTTAGCTAAACAAGGGTGATAAATCCGTGGGCAAAGGAAAGGCCCTAAATATCTTGCGGTGCCTGCCCTCAAAGATCACACACAGTTCCATTATCCAGGGTTTGTGCTGATCAGATGGGAGTGAGACACAATAGAAAGGATGCGGAATTTTAAGTGGAATCTGGACTACGTGAGGTTTATTCACTGGATAACCCAAGGTAAGTCAAATCACTTGAGACAATTCACTTATCTGTAAAAGAGGGAAACTGTGCTATCTTTCTCACTGGTTTATACAGAGCCCATTTCCTGATGTATGTAACACACGGCTCAATAAATGTGTGAATATATGTGGATGCTTATGAAAGTGCTCTGAAATAGTAAAGCACTATCAAATGTTATTATTATTAAAAATCTTCCAGGTTATGGACAATTTTCAGTCATTTTAGCTAGGAGTTGATACTGTTTGTGACTTTGTGACTCTTAATATGCTTTATTACACTTTTTCTTTATATTACCCTATATGAGGTAGTAATTATTACCACACTTTTAGGGATTAAGAACTCAATGCTCAGAAAGGTGAAATCACACAGGTCATATAACTAACAGTGGTAGGGCTGGGCTTTCCAATACACATCCACCTGGCTACAGAGCCTGTATCTTCAATATAATGGCCCTTAACATAAAGTAAACTACCACACCCAGAGAGGGGCTTCTGGATCACCAACTCTACCTTGAAGATAAATCTTACTATATACAATGAGACTCAGACGGCCAAAGGATTGCAGTACAGTGAAACATCCGAGGCACAGGAAAAAGAGCAACTTGCAACATGGAAGATGATGGATCAAGTAGTCATAACTTGGAGGCTGGCCACTTCCTCTGTTAGGTTCTCCTGGACCTATACTACCAACTGCACTGACACGGCTGCTTTCTTGACCATCTCCTCAATAAAACCAAGCACTCCTTGAGGGCAAGGACCATGTCTTGTCCAGCTCTGTATCCCCAGCACTCAGCACAGGGGCTGACACATAGCAGGTGCTTGTTGGATGAATGGGAAAATCTCTTTTTTTTCCTGTTAGGTACAGATACTAAATGAACTCACAAGGTGGTTGGGAGGATCAAATAAGAAATGCATTTGGATAAAATGCAAAGAATTATACAGGCTGGAGGTGCTTTGTGCCCCAAAAGGAAGTACTATTTGTTGAAAAACTGCAAATTTGCTGAGATTCACTCACTCAACAAAAATTCATAGAGTAGGCTACCACCTGCCAGGCCCTGTGGAAGGGCCTGGGTGTGCAGTGATTGACAAAATGGATGTGGTTCCTAATCTCATAGTTACAGTTCAGTGGATAGACTCTCAAAATAATATTTAGTTATAAATTATAATAAGCTCTATGAAAAAAACTGCAGGGCACTATGAAAAAAATATAACAGGAAGTCTAATTTAGATAGCAGAGAAGGGTTCACAGAAGAAAATAACATTTTAAATGATACAATGATCACCAGGATTTGCTTACTATGTTGTCTGCTTTTTAAAAAATTATGTTTATTGATTTTAGTGACAGAGGAAGGGAGAGAGAGAAACATCAACTGGTTGCCTCCCAGGGATTGAACTTGCAACCTAGGTATGTACCCTGACTAGAATTCAAACCCCCAACCTTTTGGTGTTAGGATGACTCTCCAACAAGCTGAACCACACCAGCCAGGACTGTTTGCTTTTCATGTAAACAAAGCTTGAAATAAACTATAAGGTAAGCTATAGGGAAATATTTTGGATTTTTTTTTTAATCTGTCAGTGGGAGGTAGGTCTCCCAATCAGCTTGTTTTGGTGGGGTCCAGTGCCAAGCAAACACGGCAGATAAAACTGCAGTGATTTCAGTGTAAACCCACCTCCCTCCCATGCATCCCAACCTGTTTGCTTCAGGAAACCTAGCTTTTCCCCAATACCTAAATTCTCACCTTGGGGTTGTCTGTATTAGTGGTTTTCGGGTGGCTCGGAAGGTGACAAAAGCTGTGACAGCAGAGAAGAAGATCCAGATCACTAGGAACCTCCACCAGTGCAGCTTCAATGTGAAATAGAGGGGAACAATCCACATCTGAAAGAGGGTCACCATCTGAAATACAAACACAAGTACTTCAGCTCTAGCCAGCGCCCTCTGCAGCTCTACCATAAGTCCAGAGTACATCTTCTGTGCTCCATTTCAGCTTGAACCCCTCCTACATTTCCAGCTGTGGACAAAGACACCGCCTAAGGAGCTAAGTTAGAAACCTGACCCATGCTTGACACTTCCCTTTCATCCCTCATCCAACTCTTTATTGTACACATTCTCTTTTTCCACGTGATTCCATGCTGTCCCTTGCCTGGCTGACTGCAACGACTTCCTTGTTAAGCCTCCCTGCGTTCAGTGTCTCCCCCTCCAATCTACCTTCCCAGGAGCACTGAAGTGGCATCTCTAACATACAGTCTTGAACATGTCATTCCTCTGCTTAAAACCCTCTACTGGTCCCTGCAAATAGAATAAGATCCAGCTCCTTAGACAGGAAGTCAAATCCCCCCAAATATGGTCCAAACTACTATTCCAAGGGTCATCTTCTACAACTCCCCATGCTTTTTAGTCAGGCTTTCCCCCTCAGGCTAAAACATCTTTCCCACCTGCCTTTCTGCCAGATAACATCACATCCAAGACAACGAAGCCTTCAGTCTCCTTTCCAGGCAGAATGTAGCTTGACTTTGCAGTGCTCCAACAGCATTTTCTTTTCTACCCTCTTACATTGCTTATCTAGACTATAAGACTGGGGTCAAATTAATATATATAATTATTATATACCCGGAACACAAGCTCCTTGAGAGCAGTCACTAGGCCACATTCATCTATGTCTTGTGCTAGAAAACTGGCACACGACGCAGGGGTGTCCAATCTGCAGTCTATGGGCTGTACACAGCCTACGATGGCTGTGAATGTGGCCCAACACAAAATCATAAATTTACTTACAACATTATGAGATTTTTTGTGATTATGTGTCGCAATGCATTTAATGTATAGCCCAAGACAACTCTTCTTCCAGTGTGGCTCAGAGATGCCAAACGCTTGGACACCCAAGCATCAATAAATGTAGATAAGTAAGTGGAAAGCAAGACTAGAACCCAAAGAGGGAGGCACACTTCTGTTTCAAAGAATGTCTATTTCATTTTTCCCTCCTTCAGGTCTTTACCTCAGAGTTGTTAGCTGAAGAGTTCCAAATATATAAAACAATTCTAAGTCAGAAGTTTGGACTAATCGCCATTTTTCTGCTCCCCAATACCTTTTAACTCCCTCTCCAACCACTCAACTTTCACCTTTCACAGATTTTACTTGTCTCAGATGAGTAGCAGGTGTAAAAGAAAAAAAAAGGATAATTAGCACTTAATGAAATAAACTTTTTAAAAAACATTTTATTTATTTATTTTTAGGGAGAAGGGTAGGGAGAGAGAAAGGGAGAAAAATATCAATATGTAGTTGCCTATCATGCACCCCCTACAGGGCACCAGGCCCACAACCCAGGCACGTGCCCTGACTGGGAATTGAACCAGCAACCCTTTGATTCGAAGGCTGGCACTCAATCCACTGAGCTACACCAGCCAGGGCTAATAAAGTAAACTTTTGAGAAAGTATTTATTCTTGGGGATTTCTAGACCAGTGCTGTCCAATCAAAATGTAATGTAAGTCACATATTTAATTTTAAGATTTCTAGTAGTTATGTTTTATAAAGTAAAAGGAAACAGACAATATTAATTTTAATAATATATTTTACCAAATACATCCAAAATATTACCATTTCAACATGTACTCAATATCAAAATTATTTATGAAATATTTTATTTATTTTGTACTAAGGCTCTGAAATCTAAAGTGTGTTTTTTATTTACTGCAGACACTAGTCACATTTCAAGTGCTCAACAGCCACATGGGTCTGGCGGCTACCATACTAGAAAGTACAGCTTAGAGCACCTTTTCACGCTTAGTTGTCTGTAGCTACTATTCTCTTACAGACTGCTATGTGGTGAGAAAAAGACTTACTTTTCTTGGTGTTATTTCACGGGGGGGGGGGGGGTAAAGGAGAAGGGGTAAAGGATTAATTAATTTAGGGATAGGATTAGGCTCTTTGAAGCCAGATGGCCTGGAGACTACCGGCCAAGATGGAGGCATAGGCAGACACACTGTGCCCCTTGCACAACCAAAATAAAGACAACAAAAATTTAGAAACAAAAAAACAACCAGTACTGGCAGAAAATTAAACTGTATGGAAGTCCGACAACCAAGGAGTTAAAGTAGACACATTCATCCAGACCAGTAGGTGAGGCAGAGTTGGGTAGCTGGGCTGAGAGAGGTCAGGGCAATAAAAGCAGTGGCTGGCAGACCCAGGCACACAGGGTGGCAGTGGGTGGACCCAGTGAGGCGGCAGATTGTGGAGGAACACGGCGCACAAGGTGGCTGGCGGACCACGTGGTCCCACATTGATGCACAGATAAACCAGGCAAAGCTGGGGAGTGAGGCAGACCATACAACCCAGGATTCCATCACAGGGAAATAAGGCCTCAAAACACCGATGGAAAACACCTGTGGGGGTTGAGGTGCCGGGAGAGACTCCCACCCTCAAAGGAGACTTTGTTGGAGAGACCCACAGGGCCCTAGAACATACACAAGCCCCCCTGCCACGGGAATCAGCACCAGAGGGGCTCAATTTGCTTGGGGGAAGCAGCAGAAGGGACTGAAAACTGGCAGAGTGGAGCAAGTGCCATTGTTCCCTCTCAGACCCCTGTCCCATATACAGTGTCACAACCCAGCTACATGTTACCCTGCCCTGGTAAACACTTAAGGCTCTGCCCCTCACTACGTAATAGGCGCGTCAAGACAAAAAAAAAAAAAAAGGCCCAAACAAAAGAACAGATCCAAGCTCCAGAAAAAATACAACTAAGCAACAAAGAAACTGCCAACCTATCAGATGCACAGTTCAAAGCACTGGTGATCAGGATGCTCACAGAATTGGTTGAGTTTGGCCACAAATGAGATGAAAAAATAAAGGCTATGCTAAGCGGAATAAAAGAAAATGTACAGGGAACCAATTGTGATGGAAAGGAAAATGGGACTCAAATCAATGGAGTGGATGAGAAGGAAGAAAGAAACAACCAAACAGAAAAGAATGAAGAAACAAGAATTCAAAAAAATGAGGAGAGGCTTAGGAACCTCCAGGACATCTTGCAACGTTCCAACATCCAAATTATAGGGGTGCCAGAAGGAGAAGAGGAAGAGCAACAAGTGGAACAGTTATTGGAACAAATAATAAAGGAGAACTTCTCTAATCTGGCTAAGGAAATAGACTTCCAGGAAGTCCAGGAGGCTCAGAGAGTCCCAAACAAGGTGGACCCAAGGAGGAGCACACCAAGGCACATTGTAATTACATCAGCCAAGATTAAAATGAAGGAGAGAATCCTAGATGCAGCAAGAGAAAAGGAGACAGTTACCTACAAAGGAGTTCCCATAAGACTGTCAGCTGATTTCTCAAAAGAGACCTTGCAGGCAAGAAGGGGCCGGAAAGAAGTATTCGAAGTCATGAAAGGCAAGGACCTACATCCAAGACTGCTCTATCGAGCAAAGCTTTCATTTAGAATGGAAGGGCAGATAAAGTGCTTCTCAGATAAGGTCAAGTTAAAGGAGTTCGACATCACCAAGCCCTTATTATGTGAAATGTTAAAGGAACTTTTCTAAGAAAAAGAAGATAAAAAACATATACAGTAAAATGAAAGCAAACTCACAATTATTAACAACCACACCTAAAACAAAAACAAAGAGAAAAACAAACAACTAGAACAGGAACAGAACCACAGAAATGGAGATCACATGGAGGGTTAAAGATAGGGGAGTGGGAGGAGGAGAGAAGGGGAAAAGGTACAGAAAATAAGTAGCATAGATGGTAGGTAGAAAATAGACAGGGGGAGGGTAAGAACAGTATAGGAAATGTAGAAGCTAAAGAACTTACAAGTATGACACATGGACATGAACTAAAGGGGGGAATGTGGGTGGGAGAGGGTGTGCAGGGTGGAGGGGAGTGAAGGAGGGAAATTGGGACAACTGTAATAGCATAATCAATAAAATATATTTTAAAAGTACATTATAAAACAAACAAAAAAATAAAATGCCAAAGATTTAAAAAAAAAAGAAAGAAAGAAAGAAACCAGATGGCCAGGTAGACTTCGATTCTAAGTTGTGTTCTGCCTTTAACTCATTGGGTCACCCCAAGGAGGTCCTTCCTCCTTAAAGGAAGAGTGTGATTTGATTTTTCAAATCACTTCAAGTTCTAACATGCTACGGTTCTATTAAGCAGCCTATATCTTTGACTTCCTGGGAGAGTGAACTCAAGTGTCCCTATGACTTTGACTAAATTTAGTTTTAAGTCCTAGTTCAAGGAACCATATCCCTCTCTTTGTATACCCCTCAGAGACCTAGCCTTCTCCTTGATAAGCAGCAGCCCCCGAGGCATCAAAGACAGTAGCCAGAACCTGACTAATGGTCACACCATGGACCTCAAGATAACATCCTGACCTAATGTATGTTTCAGTTCCTGAGCCATAAGATGGAATGACCCCTGGCTACTTTCCCATGAGACCAAACAGAGGGATGCAGGGAAAGACTTCAGAACTGTCCTCAAGATCTGAAGAAATGATCTATTACCCTTGCCTCACCTCCAACCAATTAGCTCTCAGCCCAACCGCAAACCCTTAACCCTGGTGTCTGGTGATTTTACCCCATATGATCTATAACCCACATGCCACTGGGGAGTTCAGGCTTTTGAGCATTGGCCTCCCATTCTCCTGAGTGGTGCCATGCATAAGACAATACCCAGTACTTCTCCACTGCAATTCTCAATGTTTAGCTCTGCTAGCACCTGTGCACAAACTTTTTCTGTTCTGTATTAAAAATGCTTTATTCATTTATCCATCAAGTATTTACTTTGCATTTAATGGGAAGAGAAATGAAGAAATAAACATGACCTCTAGTTCCTGTCCTCAAGGATCTAACAGTCTAGCAGCAGGAGAAAAATATAAATCAAACCTCATTTTAATGACTCTATTAAT